TAGAATGGTCAAGTCCTTGTTAACTCCTTTTTTTATTATAAATAAATGTTTAATCTATACGAAACGAACACCCATATCATCTATATGAAACAAACACCCATATTCATAAGTGTCGTCCAATGTAGCAACTTCTTCGAATGCAGTAGCTGGTTTTAATTCTCCACGACCATGGAAAACAAGTAATGTGTTGGTTGTAACACGATGTTGGTTTAGCGTTAAGGAGGGTGTAACACCACTGGCTCCTCCATATTTCTTGGTAGGTGAGGAATGTACCCACATAACAACTTTATTCAACCATGAGATGGGAGAATGACAACACTGGCTACAATCATATATTGTCAGTAAATTGATGGATGTAAAGGGAGATGTCATATGGTTCAATTGATGGTATAATTATTTTAAAAATACCAATACTTATTATGAAGACGCCAAAGAGATTCTGGAAATTGTTAAAGATTTTTACATTTTGGAGCATGAAGGCAGTGACTTCGAGTATGAGGACGTTTGGAATCTTGTTAAAAATAATCAGTATTTCATGTAGATGGCTCTGTTATTATGAAAATTTCATATTTGTAATGAACTACTAGAAAAACAGCCTTTTACGATGCGGAATGCGTGTCGTAAAACACTCAGACGACGCGTAAATGCATGTCAAGGAAGGCCCTGTCATAACGAGAGACGACACGCGTTTGCGCGTCGTCTATTTACGATGCGCATTTATGACACGCATTTACTACGCACAGTTATGACACGCAATGCGTATCAAGAAAGGCCCTGTCATAAAGGAAGACGACATGCATTTGCGTGTCATAACCTTACAACACGCGTGTTTATAACACGCGTGTTTATAACACGCGTGTTTATAACACGCAGTGTGTATCAAGGAAGCCCATGTCATCAAGGAAGACGACACACATTTTTGGGTGTCATAATTTTAAATGTTTTTAAAATTATATATTTTTGATAAATTTACTAATTTTCAAATTAAATAACACATTAAAAGTCTTATAATACAAAATAAAATACTATAAACAATAAAGATAATTCGTTGCACTAATATGTAAAATACAAATAATCATTCCAATAGTAAGTAAACATAACACATTGCTAATATTGCATAATATTTATTATATAAAACAAAACATGTACAACATTTAAAGAAACCAATGACTAAATTCTCTTTTATCAATCTCCTTTGACAATTTCATTTCTAAAAGAATAACCTGAATGCAGGAACTTTGAGAGGCTGCAGGGATGGAAGGAGATTGCTAGAGCTATCAGAACGTGCACATGGAAAATTAGTAACTTAACATGCAATACAATATGCAATACAATACAAGATGATATGATAGACATGCTATGGCATCCAACTATATATATTTTTTTGTCTATTTTCTTTGCCAATGCCAATTAGGCCACTAAGCTTAGGAAAATGATTCTTTGGATCATTTTGTAAATAGGATTTTGAATATATGGTTAGCAAGTGCTAATATAGGTGGTACATATTCATTACCTCATGAATGATTGGTGTTATTCTATCTAAGGTGACACAAAGTTGCTTTACTTCTGGCTTGAAATTGTGTGTGGCTTCAACTACATAAATTACCATTGCATACAGTTTGGAGATGGATTCAGAAAGAAGCATAGCCATTTCTTGTGGCTTAACCTGAAAACGGTATTCTAAAAAGAGTTATGTGATTTTTAAAAGAGTTTACATGGCTTTAAATCATTATGGAAATATTTGGTAATCCTTTATTGTAAAAAAAAAAGTAATAATTAAAAGCATAAGGAAATGTTTTATGTAATTGGTATCACATGTAATTATTAACACAATTAGCTTGTGTTCAACTCGTATTCCCCCCTAAAAAGCATTTTAAATCTTTTAAAAGGTAGATTATATGTGTATGAACTCACCTTATGTTGAAGATTCGAATAAAGATATGATATAGGATGCTATGTTTCACGAGTGAACTCCCGAAGCACAAACGAGTCCTAATTAGCATATTATCATATATATATATATATATATATATATATATATATATATATATATATGTATGTATGTATGTATGTATAGTTAGTGAATATAACTACAAAGGTGACTAGGAAACAACCTAGGATGCTAGAATAACTCACCAAAGGAGTGTTAGAAGCAAATTAGGAGGCTGAAATGGAGTTCACGGCTGGGTTGGAGGTGTTCATGACCCTAAGGTGTGATCACGACCCAAGAACAATTGAAGTTTTCATGGCCCAATATGAAGGGTTCACAACCCTAAGCTTGAAGATCTTGAATTTCAAGATGAAAAAATGATGAATCAAGGTGGAAGGTAAAGGGATCTCAAGTAACAACAAGAAGAGGGGTGAGTTACTTACGTTTTTGAGGTGAAAGAAGCCACTTTTATGGATGATACTTGAGAGAAAACTTGGACGATCACGACCAGAAGTGAAGAAAAGAAGATAAAATCGTGCAAGCACTTATATATAGGGAGGTGATTGCGGCCGAGGAGTTCACGGCCGTGAACCAAGGCTTCACGGTCTGAGGCTTGATCTCGGTCCGGAGAGGTTCACGGCTCCGGAGTTTTACGGCTCGAATGTTCATCGTTCGGATGTTCACGGCTATGAGGGTTTTGTGCTCAATGCGAAGGTTCTCGATTTCCTAAGGCCTTTCCCTTCCAAAATATAGCACACTTAGTTACAAGGGTTTAAAACTTATAAACCCATAATCCATCTAATTTAAGATAATGGAAGGAATAAGCTTGACCAAAGTTGACTTTATAAGAATAAAATTTTCGGGTTGCAATGTAGTGGATGAGACTTTTCATGTTCCATAAATTGAGGACAAGTTAGGGAACTCATTAAAACCATTTAGATCAATTTTAACAAATAAAATTATCATATAATTCATGATTGATCTAACTAGACTCATAAAACAAGATAATATTATATCAACAATTTACAAGTAATTTTGTTTATCATATAAACCAACAATTATCATAAAATTCTGACAATTATCTTTTGATTGGATGAATATAATCACTACCATATCATAAAAAACAGATTTTATGATACAAAACAGTTTGTGGTAGTGATCCTAATCCAATCCAAGCCAAAAATCCCGAAAATCTGCTAACAGATTGTCCGAATCGTCGAGTCAGTTAATGGACTCGTCGAGTTCATCATGAACTCATCAAGTTCATCCATGGACTCGGTGAGTCCAGTCTTTCAGAATGCAATTTTCAATTTGCTTCAACTTTAAACAATGAAAAATGCAACAATATAACAGAAAACTACCCTAGGCTCTGATACCACTGTTGGGTTTTGAGCACTATAACACTCCTATGGTGCACATGCAACCCTAGATGCTTTGGATCTATGTTTTCTCTATTATACATGCAATATTGTTTCCAAAGCATGAAGCCTAAACTAGCATACAAAAATTTGAGATATACAACATAAAACCAAAGTAGATGAATACCTCTTAGTGTAGCTTATACTTCTTGGACTACAAAAGCTTTAGCACCTCAAATGTGATATCTTTAATGTCTCACAAACACCAAGTGCAAAAGGAGGCTTATGATAAGTGGCTAGGTAGCTCAAAATCTGTTATGACTTTTCTTAAAATGCATGGGGGCCGATTTTGGTGACTGTGGGGTTGCTTTTATAGTGTGGCAAAGTCTAGGGTTTCATCTATGCAAACCCTAATTCACCATGACCCTTCATATCTCCTAGGTTACATGGGTTAAACCTTTATGGAATATCACATATGTTTAGCCCACCCTAATCAACCATTGATCATTAGCACAACTATAAGTATTATTGATTTACATAATCAGTCCCCATATATTTAATCAGTCTCTTTTGATCACTAAATTGATTCCAAAATCATTCTTGATCAATACTAATTAAATAATATGATTTCTCAATTAATATATTATACTTATAATATATTAATAAACCAAAAATAACCTCTTCTCAAAAAATTCCATCCTATCAAATTGCTCTAGTGAAGGCAACCTAAAAGGACCATGCTACAATTGGGTCAAATATATATCAATTATACTTATGGGCTTAGACACATAATCCAACAATTTAGGTGTAAGAGTATTTTGGTCAAGTTAGGCAGTAAGTTGAGGCATGTGTTATGTATGGTAATATTTTGGTGTTGTAAGAGATGACAATGAGAACAACTTATTATGTCTTCATGATAACAATGTATCAAGTCCTTTAACACATACATATGTATAAAAATAACCAAATCTTGAAAATTCAATAGCAACCTAGTTACCAAACAAACCAAAACATAGCAGGTAACAATAATTATAGTGATCAAGGCGTATATATTGATAACTTAACAATCATACCATGTCGTTTACAAAGCTTCCCAAATATCAATGTCAGTTAACAACCCAAAAAGGGGAATGTAGTTTACAAAGCTTCCCACAAACTAGTACCATACCATGTAACCTAATTAGAACCAAACTTCAAATTCTACCAAACATTATGGATAGGAAATGGAAGTTTGTTACTAAAAGACAAGTGTACCAAAAGTAGATGTTTACAAAAAGGCCAACCTATTTACTAATGCCCATTCTACCCATTCAACCCTTAAGCATAACTTCTTAATCTAAAACCCAAGGGGTTTTGGAAGAACCACCACCATCAACATCTTCAACCATTTTCCTGAGCTTTAATTTCCTAATTCTTTCACAGGGAGTCTTCCTTTTCTCCCAATGGGAATTGTAAAAACCAGGACCCAAGGGTATTACTCTTGCTCTAATCTCTCTCTCTCTCTCTCTCTCTCTCTCTTCAACTTCTTCTTCCTTAACCTCTCTTTCTTTAACTTTTTCTTCCTCAACCTCTCTCTCTTCAACTTCTTCTTCCTCAGCCTCTCTTCTTCAATCTCTTTTTCCCAAACATCTCTTTTCCGAACATCTCTTTCATCAATATTTGTTTCCTCAACTTCTCCATAAACCTACAATATGGCAGGCTAGTTAGTAAAGCTACAATATGAAAGCCCTAAATAATGTAACAACACTTACCTCTTTTATAGCATCCACTGCATCAACATGTGTATATTTAGATAGCAACAACTCCTTTAAAGTATCTCTTTCATTCACCTTCACCTCATTGGCATTCTCTTTTTCCTGGACATCCTCCTTTTCTTGACTCATAGGTTGCTTATCATTAGGTGTATAGGTGAAAAGATCATCAAAATCCTCATCATAGGTTAGGGACAGATCTTCCTTTGCTTGAATTTTATGTTGCCTACCATTAGGTGTTTTCTTTGGCGTTTTGTAACTTGATCTAGAAGGACCACCATCTTGATCACCAGATTCTGAAAACTGGGGGAGGAGCATCATCCCTTCTATGTATAGCAGGCCCAATTGGAGGGAATTGATCAATGATAGGTTGGCCTCCCATATCTTTCCTAGGTCTTCGAATCTTCCTTTTGGGGACATGGGGCTTAGGTACCTCATCATTTATGCATGAAATCTTATTATGCCTAAGTTGTTGGCACTTTCCACACCTCACGGTCCTAGGAACATTTATCCTTTGTAAGGGGTATTTGGCATCTTGTGAATTGTGATCCAGATGCATGCTTCAATCTCTTTAGTTTGGATCTTCCAGGCATCCTTCTAACTGGGGATGGTAATGGTTTAATAAAGTTATTCCTTTGCCACAAGTTGCTTCCACCTACAAGTTGTATGCTCTAACTGTATGTTGCAACATATTTGTCCTTGTGGAACTAAGAAGACACGAATTGACTTGGATCAGTATGGATATAGTTGATTGCATCTTGACTATGCACACATGGTATGCCAGAAAACATTCATAAGTTGCAGGTGCAAGTGTGAGTAGCTAAATCAACCTTGTATCCATTGTAGCCATACCTAGTCTCAAACACATCACCACCACTTGGCACCACTGTCCACAACCTACACACAAAACAAACAAAGTACACACATAAACAATAAATACATAATATATTTGGATACATGCCCGTAAAACCTTATATTACCTTACATCTTTCCCAAATTCATCAATCTTTAGTTGTATGTTAGGCCTGCAATTACCCCTCCATTTGAATACCTCTTGAACTTGATGAAAAAACCTTTTCATAGGGAGAATCCTTATTTCCTCAAGCATTGTAAGTAGAGGCGTCTTCCTTATTTCTTTGATCATGCCATTGAAGCATTCTGCAACCCCATTCTCTACTGCTTCACAAGCAAACCCATGAGAAAAGAAGGCTCTGCACCATGTTTCAGGTTTCCTTGCCATAAGATAGTTGTATCATCTTTCTGTTATCTTCTTTATCTTCTCCATTTTAGCAAGAAAGTCCCCTTCCACTGTACTGATAGCCACTCCCTAGAACAAATTCTTTAACTCAAATCTTGTGAATTTCTTCCTAAAGTTTGCAAAGATATGCTTAGCATATTGTATGTGCTCAACATGGGGTGTAGGTTTGCTACAACATGTAGAAGTCCCTATGATTAACAAACAAACACAACACATGTAAAAATTAATGAGTGTTACATAGAAATATTTATTGTATACTAATATATATTCTTGGTACCTTGTGTTGGCCTAAGATAACAACCAGTCCATTGCTAGCACCAAGATCCAAATCAACAAACAAATTCTCAATGAACCAGGTCCAGTTGTCTTTATTCTCAACATTCACAGTTGTCCATGCTATTGGGTAGACATGGTTGTATGCATCCATCCTAATAACAGTTAAAATCTCCCCCTTTACCTGCCCTTAAAGAAACTACCATCTAGTCATATTACCCTTCTACATCCTTTATTCCTTCCATCTCTGAAATCCTTGTAGCCAACATAAAACCTTTTGAAATAGTTACACCCTGGATTACTTTCTACCCCCACCAAGCATGTTGTACCCGGATTACTCAACTTAATTGCAGTTGTATAGTCCCAAACCCTGACGTAATGGTCTTCTAACTTCCTTTCTATCATCCCCATTGCAGTAGCCTTTTCTCTTTGCCATTGCCCAACATATACACTTACTAAAAACCTTTGTAGCACATCTACTTGCATCTCTAGCAATGTCATCTTGGGCTTCATGATTACATCTTTCAGGTAGTGTTTGGCTAACCAATTGCTAGTAACTAGGGAACCAAAGTGATAATTTCTAGCACACAGATGAATTTCATTACAAAATTTAATCTGGAATGTCCTTTCATTGTACTTCTATCCCGCTGCAACCCTAAATCGACACTACATTTTTTTATTTTCACTGCTTCCATTACCACACTTAGCTATAACCCTCACTCTATCACTTTTTTCAAAATAAAGTTAGTATCCTCCATGGAATGCATAGTTAGTTAAAGAAAACCTGAGTTGAGCAGGTGATTCATAACAGTCTCCTAATCGGGGCCTCATCTCTTTCCATTCAACATTGGGATCATACACCCTATACTCGACACCAACATCTTTATCATCCTCATCTAAGTAGGCATGATCATTTTGTTGGACACCAGGAATGTCTCCATCATCTACATTCCATCAATACTCCTCGTTAATATGTTTTCATCACACAACAAGATAAGAAAATGATTATCACATAGTTTTGAGGGGGCTTTGAAAGTTTTATCAGAAAAATCCAAGAAGCTAAAGTCAAATGCATCATCATCGGAGTCAGAATCTGGAAGGTATGTCTTCTCAGGCAGCTTAGGCCTTTTAGGCTTCTTAGTATGAGAAGTAGAAGCCATATGTTTCATCAAAAACAACAACAACAACAACACCAACAACAACAACTTATTAGTTCAAACTTGGAACTCCATACTCCATAGACGAAGATAACCTAAGAATCACCAATTTCTTGTTTCCATACACGTACCTTTCTACTCCACCTTACTTCACCAACGATTTCAGAGCTTCAAATTGTGAAATTTAGGACTGTGAAACTGTTCTTAGCGTCAAACTCTTCTTGAATGCATGAAACCATTTATCAGTGATGGTTTGTGAAAGGTGATGGCTAGGGAATAGGTTAGCGGTGACCGGATGTAACATGTTACCTGCTTGTCACCGGGCATTAGCTCTCAAGTGATAATTCCATAAAAATATTGTGGTCACAATAAACAAAAAATTAAAGTCTTTTGTCAATCTAGAACATGAGACTTTAGTGATATTAGTCATTTGATATGCTATGTTTGATATGGTGAGTTTGTAATGCGAGAAACAAGGTGTTTAATAATTTAATTTCATCCTCACTTAGATTTCTGATAATGTAATTCTTTATCTTTCATGTGACATGCGATAGAGGTAAAATGGAGAATATTAGTTGAACGAATTGGGGTTGTTCTCTGTTTCTCTCTTTTTAAAATTTTCACGTTGTTTTTTTTACTCTGTTTTAGCTACTAGCTAGTGATGCTTTTTTATTTGAATTATTTCGAAAAAAAATATAATAATTTATTACAACATGTAAACAGAGTATAAGTACAGCATCCATCTGCCACATAAGTAATAACCGTATGCCAAAGTTATCACCGGTAATATTTATATACGTCAAACAATTAGTGATCCATCACCATTTACCTTTAAATTATGTACGCACATTGAATTCAGAATACACACACAAATAATTCAAAATTCACATCACATTTATATGTTTGGATTGGGCTCAATATTCTCTTAGACCATTTTTGTATTGGTTTTGACCACACAAATTATATTCTTATACCAAAAGTAACATTTGTCCAACTTGTTTTTTGCGTATCCTCTCAAGTCTCAATCACAAAGTTGAGCACCCTTTCACATTTTCCCTTCAAGCTTTCATTTAAAACGTTTATAGTATCTTTTACAAATAGTTAATGAAATATCTAAAAGTATAGAACATTTATATATATTGATTATTTTAACAAAATCTACATCTTGACATCATCTTTTTGAGAATAAATTTTAAGAATAAATTTAATAATATAACATATAGTTAGGATTATAATAACATTTCATTACATGCCTTTTTCTGGAATAAAAAAGCCTCAAACTTTACGATGTTATTTTCAAGAAGAGCATCTAGCAGCTAATAATGAATAATCACCAAATTTGTTCGTTAAAATTCTTTATTGAAGTAATATATTTTTTTATCAAATATCTTCTTTATAATATTTTATATTTGTCTAATGCAGGATTGAATTTCAAGTAAAATAAAAAGAAAAGCAATTGAATTCAAAGTTAGACTAACGTGAGGCAATTGAAAACTAAACAAAACTAAAACTAAAGTAACGTGTAACAACTGAAAATTAAAATTCAAACAATAGAAAATGGTAATAATTAAGAGTTTAGAAATTAAGCTTTATAAAAATAATGAACATTTAAAAAGAATCACGTATTTTCGTAGATTGTTTTTCTTAAACAATATTCTTATGGAAGAATCATCTCCTATAAGAAAAAATACGAATAAATCGGATTCTTGATTTTTATTGTGAAATTCAGGTTGAAAGAATATCAATTTTAAGATAAATTAATTGCATCTTTTGTTTCAAATTTACCCTTTATGCATACAAACATGTCTATTTAATTTTGACAAGGGTTATTAGTCTGCCTATATAATTACCCATTTTCATACACCCAATTTAGTAATTTAGAGAGGGAAAGGAATTTAAAAATGTACCCTTTATTGATACATAAATTTGCGACAATGATTAGGAGCATGACAAGGGTAAATTAGTCGTCCCTTGAATCACCCAAAACCTATCCCATTTCACATCCCACTTTTAGTAATACTATTGAGAGGGGACATAAATTTACAAATATACCCCTTTTAAAACTATGACAATAACAAATAAATTATGATTATGTTAACCATGTATATAATCTAATCTAATAAATAAAGAATTTTTTTGACACACGTAACATTTTCGTTCAATTTGTCAAATGTTATTTTGTAGCCTTTTCGAATTTTTTTTTTTCATATATCATTTTATGAGTTTCTATTTTAATAAATTATGCATAATACTTTAATGTAATAATTACAATAAATATAGTAATAAATAAATATCAATTTCATTAATGGAATTACCTTTTTATTTTAAAATAACCAAATTAAAACTCATTAGTTTATTTTGTTTATTTATTTAAATTTAAAAGATAAAAAAATCAATATTAATAATTTAGTATTTTTCTTATTTTCTTATAAATCCAAAATTCTTAAATATTTAGACTTTTATATATATATATTTTTTAATTAACCCATATAATACATAGATCTTACATCTATTTTACATAGTATATGCTATTTTATTCTTAGACTTAGAGCGATATAATCAGTTTAAAAGTTACTAAACGAATAATCTTTTATCAAAACAATGAAAAGTAAAATGACTAATATACAATTTATACTCTGATCAACTTTCCTTAATTTTATCATATATATGCTGATGGTTTATTCATTCAACCATCGTTATGTGTATAATTTACATATTATATGATAATTATTCTTAGAGCAATAGAATCATTTTAAAAGTTACTAAAAGAATAACTTTTTACAGAAATAATGAAGAACTGAAATTACCAATATATCCTTTATACTGGGATCCACTTTTCTTTTACCATAATCTATGTTAGATGACTTATGCATCGATTTTGGGTATATTTTTGTTTTCTTTGTGATTAATACAAATATTTTCATAATGATGAAGAATTTTAAAAAAGGGTAATTAGGATTCCTTTAAAATCACCCCAAAAATTGTCCCAATTCACAGCCTCCACTTTTGGTAATTAGTAAAGCATCCCCACAGAAAAAGGTGGTGGGCAAAAAAGTTGTTTTTGTACACAATGTTGATGGTGGTGATGATGGTCATGATTGATGCTTCTCTACAACAATCTTTTACTCAACCAACACTAACAACAAATAAAGAATCTCTCTCTCTCTCTCTCTCTCTCTCTCTCTCTCTCTCTCTCTCTCTCTCTCTCTCTCTCTCTCTCATAGTAGGTTAAAAAGAATTTCTCCTCAACCCCATTTTGTTAATTTCATTCAAGATTTCTTGAATGAAAAACACCCACATGAAGAAACACGAAAAAACACCAATTTAGTGACAGAAAAATCTCTCTTTTTGTTCATATCATTTCAAGATTTCTTGAATGGTAAACACTAAAACACCCACTTGAAAATATTCTTGTTTTTGTTCATATGATCTCAAGATTTCTTGAACTATTAACACCAACTTGGAAAAAATCCTTCTTTTTGTTCATATGATCTCAAGATTTCTTGAATCATGAACACCCACATGAAAGAAGATTAAAAATAACAAATTTAGTAGGTATGGAGAAAAAGTGCGGTTGTTGGTCTGTTTTAAGGCGTAGTGTTAGCTCTGGTTCTTGTAAGCCCTCTGTTGAAACAAGAAGAAACTCTGCGACCTCTTTCCCAAGAACCAGTCTTGTTTATGATGCAGGTATTATATCATTCTTTTTATTTCAATTTTTTTTTCTCAACTTTTAGTATTTTATTATGAATATAATCTTGTTTTGTGATATATATATTTGTTTGTCTTTGCTATGTCTTGTTTGTTTGTAACTCTTATCCGAGAAACTGTTGGTTTTGTAGTTTAGTTAAAGTAAATGACTAAAATACCCATGAGAGAATCTACATTTTAATGTATGGCGATTCAAATCAGTGGCATCTCTTGTTGTTGTTTGATTCAAGACAACGAACAAAAATAATTAATTTTAATTTAGAAAATGGTAAATTAAAAAGATCGATATATGTTTTAAAAGACATTTATATAGAAATGTTTAAGTGAAATTCCTCGTAATTTTTATGATTCATAAGCCCGTTTTCGTTTGTTTTAATGATATATTAATTTGATCTAAGGATTTTATCGGCAAGAAAAAATAAAAGTTTCTAATTGGGTTGTGTCTATCGGGTGAAAAACAAAAAGACTACCGGAAATAATATTTATGTTATTTTTTAAATTGAAAAATAATATTTTTCTAATTTATTGATTTTAAACAATTGGTTACCTAAAGATTAAAATGACAAAATATTGTTTAGTAACTTTATTTATATCATTAGCATTGTTTACTTTAAAGTTTAACATGACAAAATATTGTATGATATGATATTTCAGCAACAGAAACCCGATACTTAAATGCTAGCAATAGGGAGATGTGTGCTCCTAACGAACCTCAAAACTCTTCGGATTTGAACCCAGACATGCTCCAGTCAGACTTGACTCAATCAGATAAAAAGCCGTGTCAACTTCTTCAGTTCAGTTTTCATGAATTGAAGTCAGCAACTGGAAATTTCAGACCGGATAGCATACTGGGTGAAGGTGGATTCGGGTTTGTTTTTAAAGGCTGGATTGAAGAAAATGGAACCGCTCCGGCTAAACCCGGGTCGGGTATAACGGTCGCAGTCAAGAGTTTGAAACCGGATGGCCTTCAAGGCCATAGAGAATGGGTGGTTAGTATTTTGTTTTATTTTAAAGGGTACAACTCATTAATGCATGATATCAATTTAAAACCTAGAATCAACAAATCTTGGGAAATGTACAAGTTTTATTGCAAGATGTATAAAGAGTAAATTACACGAATGGTCCCTATAGTTTGGGGTAATTTACACGCTTGGTCCCTAACTTATTTTTTTAACTCAGAAGGTCGCTATTGTTTGTTATTGTTATGCGTTTGGTTTCTACTGTTTGTTTTTGTTATGTGTTTGCTCATTGTCTTACTTAAAAAGACTATCATTTAATAGAGAAAATTGGAAGATTAGATAAGGTAATATGAGGGGTGGGATTGGGGTGTGTTTATTTAAATAAATTAAAAAATCAATGACAAAATAGTCTTTTTAAATAAGATAGAGATCAAAGCGTGTAACAAAAAAAAAAAAATTAATAGGACCAAACTTGGGTAGAACCTATTAATGCATGGCTTTTGCTTGGTACTAAATGCATTGATGAGTTATACCGTACACGACATTTCTATATGTACAATGCCTCTGATACCCTGGACATTATGAAAAACTATCGGATGTTTTTAATTGATGCATGGATCATTAGTACAACTCAAACATGCATTGATGGGTTGTACCATGCAACACAACTAATGCATCTTTGTTTGTTGTTTGTGCAGGCTGAGGTGGATTTTCTTGGACAACTTCATCATCCAAACCTTGTTAAGCTCATTGGATATTGCATTGAAGACGATCAACGGCTACTTGTTTACGAATTCATGACACGTGGAAGCCTTGAAAACCATCTTTTTAGAAGTAAGTTTCTCCGACATTAAAATAACCAAGACTTCTTGATTTTCGAGTAGCACATTAATGTTTTTAATTGTCATGAAACTTATATGTTTGTTGTTAAAAGTCAAAATAAACTTTATTAATGGTAACATGGTTAAATTTCTTGAAGGAACCATACCCTTACCATGGTCTAACCGGATCAAAATAGCGACGGGTGCCGCTAAAGGGCTAGCTTTTCTCCATGGTGGAACAGAACCTATTATTTATAGGGATTTCAAGACCTCAAATATCTTACTCGATACAGTAAGCGCATTTTTTTAATTTTAGTCTTTTTAAATGGACTTTGATTTATTAAAAACAGTGTTATAGTTTCGGTTCCAATTCTAGACACCTAACAGGTTTTGTGAATCTCATTTAGATCTTACATCATGCTTCCGGGGTAGTATTATATAGATTATTAGCTTATCGGTCTGTTGTAAGAATAACCTTTTTGTTTTTTTGTTCATTAGGAATATAACTCGAAGCTTTCGGATTTCGGGCTAGCAAAAGCAGGACCACAAGGTGACAAAACTCATGTCTCTACTAGGGTTGTCGGAACTTATGGCTATGCCGCTCCGGAGTACGTGATGACAGGTACAACTAATCATGAATGTTATACAAGTTTTAAAGTGACAAAGCTTTGTCGTGTTTTGTATATAATTTGATGGTCACTATAGTTAAGTAGTTGTAGAATTTACATATCAATGTGAAATCTAAGTATACTACCTTTCATTTTAATTGTATCCAAGTTTCTAGTAGGTTATAACTTAGTTTTTAGTTACTAAGTTTATTTAAATTGATAATTGATTCGAATTTTGACAGTTGTCACACAACAATTATCAGTATGGAACTGATAAGGGTTTTGTTTGAATTCAGGACACTTGACATCTAAAAGCGACGTTTACAGTTTTGGAGTTGTACTTCTAGAAATTTTGACAGGACGAAGATCAATGGACAAGAAACGCCCTAGTGGAGAGCAAAATCTTGTTATGTGGGCACGTCCATACCTAGCTGACAAGCGAAAAGTCTATCAATTAGTTGATCCTCGATTAGAGCTAAATTATTCGGTTAAAGGGGTCCAAAAGGTGTCTCAAATAGCGTACAACTGTCTGAGCCGGGATTCAAAGGCCCGACCCACTATGGATGAAGTCGTTAAGACCCTAACTCCATTGCAGGACTTGAACGACTTCGCCATTCTATCTTATCATTCTCGTATGTCTCAACAAGGTAGGCGTAAAAAGAAAATACCCGAAGGGACTCAAAATGTTTCTCGTACGGGTTCAGGCAAGCAACAATGTAAATAGAAGTTGTATGTTTTCGTTATGTTGTGGCCAAATTTGTTCGGATTTTAAGACGCATATGATGTAACTTTTGGGGTGTCAAATATTTGACAAAGCTAATGTTGGATTGATGACTTGTATATTACATTTTGAGGTTTGTACATTCTTTATATTATAGCCTAATTACTATGAGCACAACTCTTTAAACCATTAAGTAGATATATATATGCATCGACATAGACACATTGGCAATTTGGCATGACTTAAAAGAAAACCATTGGCCCATTGAACCAAAAAGGGGTTTTATAATTTATGGTAATTTATGTAATAAATATTATTAAGTAAGAGCATTTTTAATGTTTAATTTTTAAAAAAGTTATTTTTTATATAAAAAGCATTCTGAATTTTTCTATATCATCGGAGAATAGGATTTTTTTAAAAAGGTTATTTCAAATATTTATTAGGGAAAATGACACTTGAGGATAACTAATTGTTACGTTTGATTTCATTTGGTTCCTTTCCTTTTTTGTACTCAATATATCATCAAATTTATTGATTGTGTTCACCAAAACTCTTTTGACCGGTTTTTGACCTATGATAGTTGGTCAAAGGGTTATGGTGAACACAAACAACAAGTTCGATGGTATATTGAGTACAAAAAAGGAAAGTGACCAAATGAGAACAAATGCAACAGTTGGTTACCCTCGTGAGTCATTTTCCCCGAAAAATTAAATGAAATTAAAATTACAAAATTATCAAAGACTGTAACTTTCTTTGGTCATAATGTATATGAAGAACGTTTCGGAGGGATAACTTCGTTAAAACATGGTATATGCTATACATACTGTGGTTAGCTGTCAACACCTCTCTGCAAAAGGATATGACTGTGTATGAGAGGTATATTTGTCAACATAAACGCTTACCTCAAGGTATATTATGGTGACGTGTCTGCAAAAGCTAAATGATATTGTATATATTGATGTTGTATCTTATCCAATGAATTCGGTCTTAAAGCTATGTAAACTCAAAACTCATAGCACTTGTGATTCCACTCGTTTGTAGACTTGTCTAGAATCTATGATACGATAATCATTTAACTGGAAATGTAAATATAGTTATGAAATGCACCTGCTTAGTCAAGATTCTCCTAATAAATATTCAAGTGCATTATAGAGTTGTACATGTATGAATAATGTTCTTTCTGTTGGTTAGGTTTTGAAGAGAAGCAAGAATGAATCTCATAAAGTCATTAATATCAGCAGGATATGATGTGAGATTTGCTGTAATTGAGTAAGGGGAAAATGAATCAGGAGGGTAACCAACTATTGCATTTGTTCTCATTTGGCCCCCTTTTTTTTACTCAATATATCATCGAACTTGTTGTTTGTGTTCACTATAACCCTTTGACCGGCTATCATAGGTTAAAACGGTTATGATGAACACAAAAAACAAGTTCAATGGTATATTTAGTACAAAAATAGAAAATGGACTAAATGAGAACAAACGAAACAGTTAGTTACCATCAAGAGTCATTTTCTCTATTTATTATTTATGGATTTGATCCCTAAATTAATTAATAGTATATATTTCAATACCTTAATAATATTTAAATATTATATTTTCTATTAGTTAATCAACTGATTTAATAATAAAATAAAATAAATATACTTTATAAAAAAGTTTATATAATTTAAAAGTAGTTGTTAAAAAGATCAAATATATATATATATATATATATATATATATATATATATATATATATATATATATATATATATATATATATATATATATAGATGTAAGTTCAATTGAGAAAAAAATAAAAGGTTGAGAATGGGGGAATCATTCTCAGGCAATCATTTTATATATGTAAAACACATTTAGATTAAGTCATTAGAGACACGCTATTTTTTCTGAATCGTTCATTCGTTCTTCATCAACAACATCTGTTATTCATTCATCTGGATCGTTCCTCTGTTCTTCATCAACATCATATTTTCTCCATCAACATCATCTGTTCTTCATCAACGTCATCTGTTTTTCATAAAAAAAAACATCAATGTCACCTGTTCATCATCAAAAAACATCGACACTTCTTAAAACATCAATTCTTCATCAAATATCGTCGTTATTTCATCAAAATGTTGTGATTCATCATCAAAAACATTTATTCGTACTATTAAGTGTAAGTCGTGATTCAATCTTGTCCAGTTTCATTGATGTCAAGAAAAATCGATAAACATAATCCATATTTATCGATGTCACATCATTTTGCGATCACCACTCATCGAAACTTCATCAATCGAACCTTCACCAATATCAAAAAACAGATAGCAATCGAAAGTGCATCAAGATAACCATATATTTGAAGATTTTTTTTTAAATCGATTTTCAGGCTTGAAAAACGAAGTTTTTCATAAAAAAATTCACAATTTTTGATCTAAACCTACTGATTATTGATCAATTTTGATAGGATTTGATTTGTGTTGTAATTATTGGCTTCAATTGTTAATTTTTTTACCATAATTATATAAGTTAATTTATTTGCACGCCAACTGTTCGATAAAATGTATAAACTAAATATATCACATAATATTCACAAGTGAATATGTTTTTACACGAGAATCAATGTATGTCTTTTAAAAATACAGAGTAATTATGTAATTCATATGTGAATAACATATAAAAATTATTTTCACATGCAAATACATGTAATATTCACAAATGAATACATGTAATATTCATAAATGATAATGTATTTTTTTCGAAAAAAAAAACATTGTTTTGAGGTCCTAAGCAAATTTGTAATTCATATGTGAATAACATATAAAAATTATATCTGCGTGTGAACATATGTAATATTCACAAATGAATATACATGTAATAATCAAATGTAAATATATATGTATTATTCACAAATGAATAAATATGTCAATAAAATCGAGGACTACAAAATATATAAAGTTAAAGATAAAATAAAGTATTTGATAAGAATATATATTTATTCACATACAACAAATCTTTTTAGGTTAATAAAGTAATTATATAAGCATATATATATTTTTATTAATGTTATATTCATTTGTGAATAAATGATAACTTTTTTTCGGAAAATTATAAAAATAGAAAAATGTCATTTTGAGACCCTAAACAGTCCCGAATGGCCGAAAAACACCGTACGTCACGGCGAAGCTGTGAGTTTTGTAAATCGCACCATTTTAAATCAAATATGCGAATTTCGTCCAATTCCGAGACTAAACTTCATTGCGGCAAACTATTTTGATGATGTCACTAAATTTTCATTTCTACTAGTGATGACATCATCATGACATGCTATGTATTCATATATGAATAAAGTTTAGAAATCATTACGACATATTTACTGTTGATGTTACTAACTTCCATCCCACTAGTAAAAATATCATTGTAATCTGTTATTTGTATTTATGTGAACAAACTATACATGTATATTTATTTATTTTGTGAATACAACCTTTATATATAAAAATAAACAATGCACTATAAGAATTGGTTTGTGAATAGTTTTTTTTTGTATATTGTAACAATATTATTTTGCATGTAAAATCAACATTATACTAAGACAAACAACATTGTATTGGTTAATGAATATCATTTGCATTTGAATTGAACACGATCAAAATGAAGAATATATTAAATTGTATAACATTTACACGTGAATATAAAAACATATTGTTTTCATCAATGATATCTTCTCAATTACGTCAACCAATCGTCAACCACTAGGATATGAACAAACCATTGGTTGAAATGTTATTCTTTTATTGAGTTATAACGATACCTGAAAAACATGTGAATACACATAAAAAATGTTAAAAATATACTTTTAGTTCATAACAATATCGATTTATCACATTCTAATTATCACATGATATATTCACACATGAATGTATAATCATATGTGAATATTATATAATATATGTTGTTTATATTGTATATTTACATGTGATATTACATGGTATATTCATAAATGAATATTACATAGTATATTCACATATGAATATTATATGGTAGATTTACATGTGAATATTATATAGTATATTTACTTGTGAATATTACACATTCTAATCACATCTAAATATTGCATGGTATATTCATTCATGAATATTATACAGTATATTCACATATGAATAATATATAGTATATACACTTGTGAATATGATACAATATATTCATATTTAAATATTAAACGATGCATTCACTTGTGAATATTACATAGTATTATCAATTGTAAGTATTAGATAATATATTCACTTATGAATATTAGATGATATATTCATATGTGAATATTACACAGTTTATTCACATATGAATATTACACAGGATATTAACATATGAATATTACAAGTTATTTTCACAAATATATATATATATATATATATATATATATATATATATATATATATATATAATTTTTATATGTTATTCACATATGAATAACATATAAAATTATATATTTGTTTTGTGTTTTAATAATCATATACTGATTAAGGTGCGAAAACATATCCATATATGAATATAACGTGGTGATTTAGTTTATGCATTTCATCAAACAGTTGGAGTGCATACAAGTAAACTTTTTCAAAAATGCTAAAAACATGATACTTTGACTATTTAAAACTTACAAAATAGTAGATTGATAGAGAATTATATGAAATTTAAAAAAAAATGATTTGATGTTTTTCTAACCTTAATTTCGAAATTTTGTTTGATGATCGATGTTGAATGAATGATATGAAGTGAAGTTGTTGTTGATTATCGATGATGTTGATCTAATGACACTGGGAGTATAATTAATCGTAGATGTTGAAGATATGCTCGTATTCAAGCAAAATTGAAGGTTGGATTGAAAGAACCAAAAACGAATTTTTTTTTTTGTCTACTGTTGAATGACGTTAATGAACGTGTTTTTGACGAAGATGGATGATTGATTAACACTGGATGATGTTGATCGAGGATTTAATTGAAGAAATCTGGATGATCGTTGAAGTTTGGAGAAGAAATTTGGATGATGAACAATCGAGTAGTAATGAATTTGAATTGTTATCAAATTATCCACAGTCACATATCTGTGATTGAAGGATATCATATCATATTTACAAGTTTGTCACCGTGTATTTTATGTTAAGGTGTTAATTAAATGA